TCATTGCACCAACAGCAGCACGGCTACAGGAACATATTAAAAGACTCCACTCAGAATGAGAGAGCCACGATCTGAAAATCAACCAAGACAAAACAGAAGTGATGACATTCTCCAGAAAAGGAAGAACCACTTATATCAAAATTGATGAACGCAGGTTAAAGCAGATGAATGAATTTACAGAGCATTATTTTTTTCAAAACACGAACGAATTATTAAAGAAATACAGCAAAGGTGTAATAATGCCAATCAAGTTTTATGCCAAATGGCACCAGCGTATGAATGTTAACGCTAAAAGAACACTGTTCAACACATTATTATTACGAACGCTATGCTTTCTGTGTTAAACATGAACATTGTCTTCAGAAGACAGACGGAAAATAGTCACAAAAGAAATTAAATGTTTATGTACTATACTAGGTGTAACGAGGAAATATCGACTTAGGAACGATGATATCAGGGGGAGAGTCAGCACAGAACTAATACTGACAGCAGGTCAAATGGTTTGGCCATGAAACAAGACTGGCGCACCAGACAAGGCACCACAGACAGCGTGGTAATGCAGATACAGCGGTAACAGATCCAGAGGTCGACCATGCAAAATATAGACCGCACAAATTTCAGAGACGCTCACAAGTTCTATATACTAAGTGAACAGAAGGGCCCGTTCCATTGATCTCTTCTTACCCTGACGCCGTAAGGCATTCCACGAGCAGAATAAAGAAAAAGAAGATCAACATCATGGCACAAGGGTAGTAACCCATAAGTGCTCCGTTTTACTTACAGCTCAAACCTGAGTCCGAAGTAACTCGGCGCTGTGCACGAACTCCGTAGCACCGGCGAAGATATTAAAAATACTTTGGGTATATTGTTAACTCCGCGTTTGTACTGATACTGAACGAGTTGATGTTTATAAGAGGTTGCTAACATAAGACACAAAAATCCACAACAAGCCTCCAATTGAAAACAAAATGCTACTTCCGGCCCCTTTAACAAGTCAATAAAAACTAAACGCATGACAAAGAAATCGATACGAAGGTGAAATCATGTGTCCTAATGCAAATTCTATCGTGCTGGTTTTAATGATGTCAGACAAAGTGGCTTCCTGTTCACACACACAAAAAAAAAATTTAAATCTAATTCGTATTCACGAAAATTCTGACTGGGGGGAAATTAATTACGTGGAAGCTGTAGCGCTGTGATGTGATTTAATCAAAATAATTATAAGAACGTCACTGGTAAATAAAAAGCGTAATCACAATGTCTTCAAAGAAATTACCTCGTTAAAGAACTGACTATTCATATCAAAAGTCCACATTCTTTAGTAATGTCTTGAGAGCAGACAATTGGATTGTGTGGTGGCAACAGGAAAGTTGGAGGGCGCGAGAGACAGGGGGTAAGAAGAGAGGAAGCAGGAGGCAAAAGAAAATATGTACAACAGTTTAGCATCAAACACAGAAGAAAACGTGTAAAAGGGTAACATGCATGTTTCACATATCTATCTGTCTGTCTGTCTGTCTGTCTGTCTGTCTGTCTGTCTGTCTGTCTGTCTGTCTGTCTGTCTGTCTGTCTGTCTGTCTGTCTGTCTGTCTGTCTGTCTGTCTGTCTGTCTGTCTGTCTGTCTGTCTGTCTGTCTGTCTGTCTGTCTGTCTGTCTGTCTGTCTGTCTGTCTGTCTGTCTGTCTGTCTGTCTGTCTGTCTGTCTGTCTGTCTGTCTGTCTGTCTGTCTGTCTGTCTGTCTGTCTGTCTGTCTGTTCTGTCTGTCTGTCTGTCTGTCTGTCTGTCTGTCTGTCTGTCTGTCTGTCTGTCTGTCTGTCTGTCTGTCTGTCTCATAATATAAAAATCATTTATATATATATATATATATATATATATATATATATATATATATATATATATATATATATATATATATATATATATATATATATACTTTTTTTGTAAATTGTATTCACACACACACACACACACACACATATATATATATATATATATATATATATATATATATATATATGTGTGTGTGTGTGTGTGTGTGTGTGTGTGTGTGTGTGTGTGTGACTAAAAGTTACAAAACAAACCTTATTATTTACATTTTAAAAGTAAAGTTGTCACAGATTTATCTAAAAAGAACCATATCACATCACATCTCTCTCATTTTTCGTTTAATGCATGTATTCTAGATGAACTTTGGTATCAAACAAAAGTTTGTAGGGGCACCCCCTTGAGAATACGGCAAAACCACCCCCCCCCCCCCCCCCACCTCCGTTTCTCAATCCAACACCCACCATATAAAAAAAAATGTGATTATAAATAGGAGGGTATAATGAAAATTTACAAGTAATTGTAACAAGAACTTGAAGAAAAACACACTTAATTTAAAGTGCCAAGTAACAAAAGAAACTGTAACCAACAGCTGATAATTCAGTGTCCTAATATTAATGTGATAGACCTGTTCACGTTTCCCGGCCCATCTACACACTTTCTCAGTCTGATCTTTGTCAGATGGGTGTCACATGGTAAATTTTACGCTGATATCCCCAATTTACACACCGCTACACACTACGTAGTTTCTGATTGGACGACCTACTAACCATCTCACATCTGATAAGTCGGCCTCGAGCGAGCCGACTTTCACACAAGGTCACGGGGATATTCTGCACTTGCGCTCATACCTCGTGTTGTATATTTCACCATGCCAGAGATTTAAACACTTCTACAACATTTAGACACTGGGTCTAACACATAACCCTCTAGAGAGTGACAAAACCTATGTCACAGGCCGTCTCTTTCTCGGAAATAAAAACGTTAAGCCAGACAACAACAGACTTCGACACCCTTAACCTCGACCACGGTAGACTAGTCCAACTAACTTATCAATGGAGTTGACATACAACCGGTGATGTGTAAATGGGGAAACCATCGTATAAATAACCTGTCACGTTGTACTGCTTTCTTCGAAAAAAGTCTCTCGTGTGATCTGGACTCATGCTGTGGGTAGAAAAGGGGGAGGGGAGAGTGGGTAAGGATCAGTTCTAGATGTTTCGGGGTCGTTAAAAGCTGTGTAGTAAAAAAACAGGCGACATCAGCGCTGATGTAATTGGAGGCAAAGCAAATTGACCCCCCTCTGACGTGGACGAGTCTGAGAAAGTATGAATATAAGTTCAGACAGTGTGTAAATGGGTCGGGAAACATGAACAGGACCAGTGTGCTGGCTGACACTATTGTGTCTTGATAATGTCTGCTACTTTTAATCTGATGTTGGACGAGGCACAACGGAGATAACTCTCAACATTGTGACTCTTAAAACTGAAAATCATGATACAAATGCACTCAATTTCAGAATATCTGGACAATCATACCCCCCCCCCCCCCTTTTCCCTCGCCATGCCAATGGGTCGCCACCCCTCCCCCAGGTTGGAGACCACAGTACTAGATCAGTGCTTCTCAACCTTCCTAATGCCGCCACTCTGTATTACAGTTTCTCATGTTGGGAAACCCCACCCATACATACATATATATATATACATACATATATATATATATATATATATATATATATATATATATATATATATATATATATATATTCGTTGCTATTTCATAACTTCAGTAAATATGATTTATGATGGTCTTAAGCGCGACCCCTGTAAAAGGGTCGTTCGACCCCTAAAAGGGTTGCGACCCACAGGTTGAGAACCGCTGATCTAGATTAAATTCTTTCACCACAGTCATCACATTTCAAACTGGCATTGCAAACTTTAAATACTCCGGTACTGTCATCCAGTCACTCCTTCCTGACCTCGTCTTTTGCTAGGTATAACTAAGCCATTCAAACTGAAAGATTAAGCTTATTAAAATATACACGATGTCTTAATTAGGGTAAGAACGAATACCATATGCCCGTTTCAGCTCACAAATCAGTAATTGCTCAAAGGGTGTATTACTCAATACTGACTAAAATGTTTTTAGGTTTGAATATTAGAAAACAAATATTTTCCTTTTTTTTTTTTTTCTCCTAACATTAGTGACATCATTATTTCTGCAATGGAGTTAAAATAAATCAGTGAACCCATTAAATTTATCTTTTTTTTTTTCGGGGTTAGGAAAAAATATATATATTGTTATAGATAAACTTCATTATGATAGGCTTAGGGATATATGAATAAACTAATTAACGGAATGGAAGTAGTGCTGTGATAGGCACAGCCAAACTGGCAAACATGCAGAAAAACAGACATAGAGAAACAAACATACAGGTAGATGACTATGTACACAAACAATGTAGGTAAGTATGCAGGTAAGCAGGTAAGTAGGTATATATCATGTAGCGGGTCCTTTGCAAAACGTCATTCTCATCACAGTCTGCCTAAACGAAACTCGGTCTGCTCTCAGCTCTCCCGCCTCATTATTTTCATATTCAAGCAGTCACTTATATCCTGTGCCTATCATCGTGTTGGTAGGCCCCTGCCCCTCCTTCCTTGTACCCTGCCTTCTGCTACTATTTGTTTCCAGTCCACCCTTAGACAAATTTGCAAGGGGTCTGTCTCTCTCTTTCCAATTCCTTATCCCCGCTCCCCCACCAACAACCACCCTAAACTCTCGAGAACCACACAAAGATGTGATCTTTTTAACTATCTGTTTTTATATTATTTCAGATAAAGTATTTTGTTAGTTACAAGCCTGCATTAAAAAAAATAGCAATAGTGATAATAATTAAATATATTATTATTGTTGTTATTATCATTCTTATCGCGCACTTAATTCAAGACCTATGCCCTTTGAGCCCTTGTACCAGCAAATTGTGAGAAACCCGGTTATTTCTTTGAAGCACCCATTGTAGTCTTAAATATCGGACTGACATCTTATCGTGTTGTACGTAGCGTCACAGATCCGCAAAGAGAAACACGTAGCGGCACTGATCGGCAACGAGAAACAAACCTTTCAACAAAAGACAGTACCTGTCACAGGGTTTACTTAGCCCAATACCAGCTATGCTTCTATCTAGACTCTCTGAGGCCTCGGCTTTCTCTCGTTACTGGCGCACCACTTATTTCTTCTCCACAATCTGGCAACCATGTCTCTAAATTTGCGATTGGTGGCCCAGTAAAGGAGAGGATTGACGGCACTGTGAGCATGTCCGAGCCATAAAGCAAAGGGCAAAAACTGGACGAGGCCGACCATGTCCCATTGGTCAATGAGAAGAGACATTATATTGTAAGGCAACCAGCAACAGATAAATAGTCCAACAAGCAGAACGAGAATCTGTGCCGCTCTCTTTCTGCAGAAGATGTAGGTGCCATTGTTGGCGCCAGACGACTCAGAATTTGTGGCGTAGAAACACAGCATCTTGCCCACGTTTGCGTAGCAGACGACCACGATGCTGACTGGAATCACGTAGACAAGAAAGAGAAGCAACCAGCCGAACACTTGCCTGTCATGGTTATTAGGCCAGCTCTCGATGCAGAATGTCATCGGGCTCAGGTTGGGCATGTTCAGAGTGTCAATTATTCTGACGTATAACTGTGGCGACATAAAGACGATCGAGGTGGACCATGTGAAGGCTGTTAGAAGGATTGCGTGAAGTCGGGCTGATTTCCAGTGCGTGTGGGAGGGATTCTGAATGAACAGGTATCTGTCGACACTCATCCCAGTCAGTGTGAAAATCCCAGTTGCCACAGCGACGCCTGTTGGAAGAGAGAAGCAGTAAATAAAACAATTAGTGTCTGCATTGCATTATCTTTTTGTTTGTTCTAAGGCAGTCTAAAAGTAATAGGCAAATCATTCTCCTCCTCATTTAAAGGAACGCATCTGCGTTATAGGCGAGGAAACAACAGTCCGCATAAAAATAAGCCAGATCTGTAACACGAAAATGCAGGTTCTGGAACAAGATTAAAATCCAGAAGTGTGTGAACAACCAAATCTTTCCGCCGGAGTTAACAGCCGGCCAATGCGGTAAAACAGAAGATTCTCCTCATCCTCTTCTTCTTCTTCTTCTTCTTCTTTTTTTTTTTCTTTTTTTTTTCTTTTTCTTCTTCTTCTTCTTCTTCTTCTTCTTCTTCTTCTTCTTCTTCTTCTTCTTCTTCTTCTTCTTCTTCTTCTTCTTCATCATCATCTTCTTCTTCTTCTTCTCCTCCTCCTCCTCCTCCTTCTCATTCTTCTTCTTCTTCTTCTGTTTCTTCTTCTTTTTCTTCTTCCTCTTCTCCTCCTCCTCCTCCTCCTTCTTCTTCTTCTTCTTCTTCTTCTTCTTCTTCTTCTTCTTCTTCTTCTTCTTCTTCTTCTTCTTCTTCTTCTTCTTCTTCTTCTTCTTTTTTTTCATCTTCTTCTTCTTTTTTCTTTTTTTCTTTTCCTCCTCTTCCTCTTCCTCCTTTTTCTTCTTCTTCTTCTTGGAATCATTGTTCAGCTCTTCTCTGACACGTCAAACTATTAGCTAGCAGACCTTAAACGACGTGAAAATAAAAGCCCTATGACTATGTATACCCAAGACTCCACATCGATAGTGCAACCATGAGCACATTATATCGATCTTTACATGTAACTGCAGATTTCTAGCTGATGCCGCTGGAATGAGACGTGTTAGGCCTTCATTGATTCAGGACCACGTCATGTGAGGTCAGTTGACCAGTTCGTTTTCTCGTGGCCTTGACACCTTAAGCAAATAATTTGATAGCCATCTGAATAAACCAGCGGGAACCTAGAGCCTATATAGATTAATGATATCACACCAAAGAATGGAAACTACAACTTCGTCCTAACAGACTAGCACTCTAACCACTGTGCAACAGTTTCTGCGTCCACCAAAATGTTCTCATCTGTATTTCACCGATATTTCGTTCTTTGTCTTAGTTTACATGCTAAAATGGGAACAGATCGGGAACTTGATAATAATGGCTACGTTTATTTCTGTTTCTTCTTTTCGACATGCTCAAATATGTAGACCATGGATTCCATCCATATTTAGAAGTGAACGCTGAGCAGATTCTAGAGCAAGGAATGTTGGTAACATTAGGTCAAGAGTTATTTTTTGCTTCTATTGTCTGTCCCAGATAGGTGTTACCTTAGCAAGAAGCAAAGTATTATGGTTCTTTTTCACGTCTTTCTACTCTCCCAAAGTTTTCTCCACTTTTCGAGACAAAGGAACTTGAGTTTCTCAATGACCCTCAGAGCTATTGCAGTGGTAGCCTAGCTACCTGAAGAACCTCACAAAGGTCAAGGGTCGAGACGTGAGTGTGGCTCGGCCAGTCGGCCACAAATCGGTTTGGACTCTAAAAAACATTGTTCTTGACAGGTTATTAAAAAGAAACTTGGCTCTCAAAAATGTGTAATTGCCCATGCTGTTGATTTTTTCTTTTTCGACTAAAGAGTATACCAGGTTACTGTATAAACAGTTAGAAAATTGCTAGGTTGATGTAATAACAAAACGGATGCAAGGGGCTGCCTTGTCTTGAGGCATGGTGTCTGCCTCGAGTGCTAGAGGTTCCGGGTTCAATCGCCAGTAAGGGTTGGGATTTTTTTTTCAGGTGGACTTGGACTTCTAACTATTCACTCTGCTCTATGGGTAATGGAATCAGACGCCCGTGTGTATTGTTGCGCACGTAAAAAATCCCTTAGCAGATGTAATTTGAAAAAAAGTAGCCTAAAGGTGCTGCCAAGGCACACATTTTGAGTTACAAATCTACCCAAAGTATTTCAGGATCCTCGCTGAGGCTACAGAGCCTGTGCACTGTGCTGAGCTTCTTCGGACTCAGACATGAGTTAGAAGAAAGAACAGAGCACATTGGTTACTATCTGTGTGCCATGATGTTGATCCGCTGTTCAAACCTTGAACCTCAAACCTTAGGACGTATGCAAGGTTTTCAGACAATTGTATCATTTAACTGCCCCCCCCCCTTCCCCCCCCCCCCCCCCCGTCCTCTTTCTCTGCTTTTTCTCATTCTTCTTATGCGTTTCTCTTCAAAAGGGCGGCTGTGTTGTGATTTACAACTAGGCTGTGATATCTGCAGCTTTCGGGACACAGCATCTAATTTAAGAAAATCTCTAATTAGTCGCCTTTTACGAAATACTGCACTCCGTGAAGAGTGACAAGAAGAGGTCCCGGGTAGTTAGCGTCCTTTGGATTTTTTTCATAGGATATGCCAGTGTATTAAGCAGCTTCCGTGGCTCAGGCGTTGCGAGTCCGACTCGCAATTCCAACGTACCACGATCGAAACCCACTGCTGGCTGCGTGGATTTTTATCATGGTATGTGACTTCGCAGGTCGGCCCAGTCCAACATGGATACCAGGATGTAGTCCTGGGTAAGTCAAGACGGCCGGCGTAATGGTGACTACATTACCCACCTAGTGCCGATTGGTCTGTAAAAATATCGGTGCTCTTCCCATGTGCCCAATGCACCTAAATGCGTGAAAAGGGATCTTTACTTAACAACTTACTTGATGCCAGTGTATTAGAAAATGAACTGATGTATGACAAGCTAGATGTTGAAAGAGCCATCAACAGCAACATGAAGTACTTTGCCAACTGGCGTTGGCGATTACGTTTCTCTAGTCTCCTATCTACAATAGCGTTATTTTCATCTGCCGACCCTCCCCCCTCACCTTCAACCTACTCCCCTCCCCTATTTCCCTCATCCTCACCCCCCCCCCTCCCCTCCAACCTATTCTACAATTTCTTTTCTCGCCCTTCAACGTGCAAGGACAAAATACGTTTTCTTCAATTTCCTCAGATATTCTGTCAGAGCCATCATCGATTGCAAATCCTTGCAGGTTAAAGCTGTTTTCTTTTTTAACGTCGTTAAATGTGTCACACTACAAAAGGCGTACGTTCGTTGACATCTCGATTCCGTTTTAAATCACGTACAGCGGATATAGTATAGATCATTAGCGACAACAGGAAATCAATTACCCGAAGTTATTTATATTGTTACGCTAAATCCATAACAATGAACGACTTTCATTAATATAGACAGGCAGATTGACTGAATGGTTGTCAGATAGACCGCTGTACAGACATAAGAACTCGCTTGTGAGTTGATGGATGGATAAACAGACAGACAGACAGACAGACAAGTAGAGAAGTAGGCAGGCAGGCCGGTCGGTAAGTTGGAAGGTAGGTACGTTTATAAACTGATAGACAGACACACCGACAGACCAACCCACTTACAGACAGACAGAACGAACGATGTAGATGTAGACTACAGATTTCATCCATATTTAGAAGTGAACGTTGAGCAGATTCTAGAGCAAGGAATGTTAGTAACCTTAGGACAAGAGTTATTTTTTGTTCTTATTCTCTGTCTTAGATAGGTGTAACCTTAGTAAGTAACAATGTAGAGTTGACCTTTTTCACGCCTTTCTACTCTTCCGAAGTTTTCTCCACTTTGTCGAGATAAAGGAACTTGAGTTTCTCAAAGACCCTGTGAACCATGACAGAGCCTCACGAAGGTCAAGGGTAGAGATCAGACTAAGAGATGCTTCCCGGTTGGGGAAAGGATTTAAATGCTGGGAAGATGTCTATGTCTTTATAAAACGTTTAAACGCCAGGTAAACAGAGTTTGTCAACTGACGACAACAGATACATTGTCCAGTGTTTTTGTAGGTCTTATTAGACTGTTGAGTATCTGTGCTTATTCAAACTGAAAAACATGCTAAAACCAGAGATGCAGGGCCAGACGGCGCAGTTAGTTCAGAAAGGTGTCACAGCTGCGTCTGAAAACTACGGCTCTATGCACAGACATACACAGATACACAAACAGACACACATACAGAGACACACGCACACGCGGAAATTATCAAAGAGACACACACAGATACACATACAGCTGCAAACACAGACACACACAGGCCCAGACACACAGAGATAAACACGTAGTCACACACACAGACATACTTACATACACATACACATACATAGACACACACAGGCACACACACTGCCACGCACATACAGACACACATACAGACACACACACTGATACACATACACAGACACACGCACACACACACACACGAACACGCACACAGACAGACACACACACATAGACACACATGCGGACACCATACAGACTCCCACACAAACAGACGCCCACACACAGAGACACACATATACGCACACAGACACACACATAGTCATACACACAAACTTATAATTACCCCTACATACACTCATAGATACACATAATAATACATACACAAATACGCCTAAACATGCATACAGGTCACACATATTTGCACACATACATATCATACACACTTTATTTAATTATCAACTGATAATGCAGTATGGATTATTACCTACACTTGATGTGGCAAATCATCACTAGTAATCGTGAAATGGAAGTTTGCGTTTAAATGAGTAGGAACTCTCTGTATTTTCAGACCGAGTGGAAGATGGTTCTATAAAAGAGCAGCAGAATTTGCTAAACGTTTTTTAAATTAATTAATTCTAGGCTTAGGCAAATTTAATAAACGTAGTGGCTTGCTATTGGTAGTATTGGGTTGACTCAATCGGAAGATGTAATTAGGAGTATTTTAAGATAGGATTTTGTAATTGAATTTGGCCTTGTTAAAAATTAAATGTTTACTACATGGCCGAAGTCTTAGATGCCCGTAAAAAAACATTTTTCTGAACGTAGCTTCTATTGGCGTAAGG